TCACAAGACAAACAGGATTTAAAATATTAATTCATAGTGCACTCCAGGTGCTTGTTCTTAGGATGGGATGCAAGTTGAATGTCATTTTGAGGACTGTCATTGTTGTGTTGTGAGCATGCCAGCAAACATTTATGACTGGAGCCTGAGCTCTATGGTTCTCCTGTCTCCCCACATCCATGGAAGCCATGCTTCATATATGTCTTCTGAGTCCTCAAAGACCTAAAACAGCCTCTGGACTTATCATCTCTCCAATTGCAAACAGTCCCAGGAATCATCTGAACCTGAGAAATCAGTCTCTTGTCCAAAGATGCCAAGTGTTGATCAGGCAAACGTGATTCTGCTGTTTTTTTCTGAGATGGAGTCTTGCTCTGTTGCCTAGGCTGGAGTGCAATGGCGCAATCTTGGCTGACTGCAACCTCCACCTCCCAGGTTCAAGTGATTCTCTTGCCTCAGCCTCCCAAGTAGCTGGGTTACAGGCACTCGCCATCATGCCCAGCTAATTTTTGTATTTTTGTAGAGATGGGGTTTCGCCATATTGGCCACGCTGGTCTTGAACTCCTGACTTCAGGTGATCTGCCTGCCTTGGCTTCCCAAAGTGCTGGGATTACAGATGTGAGCCACCATACCTGACCTGATTCTGCTGTTTCTGTTCCACTTCTGGAGGATGGCAAAGATGAGCCCAGGGGTCCTTAAGGCTCTCAGTGTTTTGCTCTTGATAAAATTGTTGATCCAGTTTCAGCCCATTTCTCTGACTTAACCACTGGGTCTTATTTCAGCTACTTTAAGACGTGGAGGCCTGCTGGTTTGGGATGGCAATCTGGGATAAAACTGTGAGGACTTCTGGGATATTCTAATTGTCTGGAATTACACATAAGCAGAAAAAATACCTTTTATTCTTTTTGGTATAAAGGACCAGGACTCTGACTTAAATAAACCTGTGGTTTGTTTGTTTTGAGATGGAGTCTCACTCTGTTTCCTGGGCTGGAGTGCAGTGGTAATCTTGCCTCACTGCAAACCCCACCTCCCAGGTTCAAAAAATTCTCCTGCCTCAGCCTCCCGAGTAGCTGGGATTATAGGCACCCACCACTATGCCCAGCTAATGTTTTTATTTTTAGTAGAGACCGGGTTTCACCATGTTGGCCAAGCTGGGCTCGAACTCCTGACCTCGTAATTCACCCACCTCAGCGTCCCAAAGTGCTTGGATTACAGGTGTGAGCCACTGCACCTGTTTTTTTTTTTTTTTTTTAAATAACAAGTAGCGATTGAGGGTGTGGGGCCTTTATCTGATGCAGTCAGTGCCGTGGTAAGCCATTTATCCATCTGGAGTGTGCCCAGACTCCTAGGACTGTCCACTTGCTCTGACAGAGATGAGAAAGGCCATATTTCTTTTTTTGAGATGGAGTCTCACTCTGTCATCTTGGCTGAAGTGTAGTGGTGGAATCTCAGCTCACTGCAACCTCCGCCTCCTGGTTTCAAGCGATTCTCCTACCTCAGCCTCCAGAGTAGCTAGGATTACAGGTGTGCACCACCACGCCTGGCTAATTTTTGTATTTTTAGTAGAGACAGGGTTTCACCATATTGGCCAGGATTCAAACTCCTGGCCTCAAGTGATCCGCCCAAGAAAGGCCATATTTCTATGAATGAGAATTGGACCTTCTTAATCCAGGCCTCCTACCACATTTGCTAACTGGCCATCTGGCATGAGTGGCATCCAAGGATCTCAGCCCATGAGAGAAATGGAATGTGACATTTTTTTCTGTCAACAGGATTCCTGAGGGTGGTGGAGTTAATAAGAAATTGCTTTTCCTTATAAAACAAATTGAATGTGATAGCACGTGCATGTCATTGACACCAGCAATTGCGCCTGTGGTTAAAAAGATGGCAAGGGAATGGGTGGCTGAGCTGAGTCTTCCAGAATATTGCTACCTTAACAGCATTATTGCTAACAACTGTCACTTGCTGAGGGCTAACTACATGCCAGGCACTGTGCTCAGCACTGTGTGTTTATCATCTCACCCCTAATCCTCACAATATTTGAGGTAGAGACTGTTGTTACTCCCCACCTGCCCCCTCCTCCTTTTTGAGATGGGGTCTTGCCATGTGGCCCAGGCTGGAGTGCAGGAGCTATTCATAGGAGCAATAATAGTGCACTACAGCCTTGAACTCCTGGGCTCAAGTAATCCTCCTGCCTCAGCCTCCCGAATGGCTGGGACTACAGGCATGTGCCACCAAGGCCAGCTACCACTCCTTTTCCTGTGAATAAAGAAACAGGGTCAGAGGGGTGAAGTAGCTTGTCAGTCTCCTTGGCTTTGCTAGTGCAGAAACTTGCTTGGCTCTATCTACTGGAATTAACAGGTTCTAAGTTTCTGCCTCTTATAAATTGATCTCATATTACTTCCTCAATACCTATGTGTCAGGTGCTGGTAATAAGTTGAAATGGGGATGGTTTAGTCAGGACTCTGTCCATTTCATAAAAAGAGAAGACAACTCAAACCAAATAAACAAAAAGCAAATCTACTGGCTTGCAAAAGAGACCAAGGGGAGCTTCAGGCATGGCCAGATCCAGAAGATAACAATGTCTTTAGGATTTTTTAGTCCCCTGCATAGATTCCATTCTCAGATGAGCAATCTCCTTGTGGTAGCAAGAGGCTGCCAATAATGCCAGCCTTGCAACCTTACAGTTCTAAATTCAATGGATTAAAAAGGAAATTCCCCCACCCCCATTAGCTCTATTTGTGTAAAACTGGCTTGGATCATATACTCACTGCATATCCAACTACCCTGACCAAGGGGCTGTAGTGTTCTGGTCAGTCTGAGTTACTTGCTCAGTCCTGGAGCCAGGGGTAGTGAACAGACAGAAAGTGAAGGAAGGTTGGAAACTCAGAGGGCAACGAATATTCCCTTATCAAAAGAAGTGAAGATCGATGCTGGGCAGACAAAAGCAATGGATGTCCATAACAGTGGGACTCTGAGAGCATAAAGGAGGGCCACTGAACTAATAAAGCAAGGGACCAATTTATTAATTTATGATTTTTTTTCTTGAGATGGATCTCACTCCTGTTCCCCAGGCTAATGTGCAGTGCGTGATCTAGGCTCACTGCAACCTCTGCCTCCCGGGTTCAAGCAATTCTCCCGCCTCAGCCTCCTGTGTTTACTCTGGGAAGAACAAATAGAGGGAGACAACACGTCTTTGTCAGAAGTGGCACCCTAGAGGATAACCCTTTCTCTGTTGTAGGGAGTGGCCTATTCAAAGGCTGAGGATCAGTCACCCGGACAAGCATACTCCTTTCAGAAACTCATATCCCTCTTACACATTATCCTCTGGGCTTACATGGCATGGGAAAGGGATCGTTTCCCAAAGGAAAAGTGAAGTGCTATTCTCAGAGGGGAAAAATTAACACTAGGTAGGCAAACCTACACTATGTGGACATGCATTCCTCAACATGAACAATCTTAATACCTTCACTCAACATAATCTGCCCTAAAGGGAGATAACATAAAATAATTTCTAGTTATAAGCCTAAGATTTCCGGGTGATGTTTTTTTCTCTAGTTCTTAACCCCATCTTGATGATCTGCAATTTATGGATTTCCTGATATATTTAACCATCATCAACACACTCATACACATCAGTGAGGGGATACTGCCATCAAAATGGCTCAGCTCCAAGGGAGGGGAAATCCGATTAACTTGGATCATCCTCAAACTTCAGCCAGAATGTGTTGGGGCAGAATATTGTAATGAATAGAGGGAGAAATAAAATAAGGCAAAAGAAGAGATATGGGGGCAGAGGCTATAGATCTTACTTTTCCAACAGGTTATGGGGCTATAGCCACTATTTATCTCTTCCTTTTTGGCTATACTTTTTTGTCTAATTCAATCAACGATTTTTGACTAACAGGGTAACTCAAACCTTCATTCCTAAGATATCTGGAGGATTGGGATTCTCTAAATCTTCTGAATGCAATATCAGCACTCTATAGATAAGTCTCTTTTCTGATTAATACCTTAACTCTCACAGAAGAGACCTTAGTAATGCTACAAATTCAACCAGCATTGTAATTTCACAATTTGAAGAATCTCTAAGTACTAGTTTGGATTTACCATGGATTCACTTATCCTGGATAGAGAAAAGCCCCGTATTTTACTCTATGCCCACAGGTCAGTTTCTGCATTTGAGCTGATGCCCTTCACCTTAAAATAGTTAATGGGGCCAGGCTTGGTGGCTTATGCCTGTAATCCAGCACATTGGGAGTCCAAGGTGGGCGGATCACCCGAGGTCAGGAGTTTTGAGACCAGCCAACATGGTGAAACCCTGTCTCTACTAAAAATTCAATAATTAGCTGGGCATGATGGCACTTGCCTGTAATCCCAGCTACTTGGGAGGCTGAGGCAGGAGGATCGCTTGAACCAGGGAGGCAGAAGTCGCAGTGAGCCAAGATCATGCCATTGCACCCTAGCCTGGGTGTCGAAGTGAGACTCTGTCTCCAAAAAAAAAAAAAAAAAAAAAAAAATAACTAATGCAATCAAAGTAACCATTCCAACTCAATGGTCTTGGCCTGCTTTATCCACTTTATTATTTTATTATTTTTTTGAGACAGTCTCGTTGCCGCCTAGGCTGGAGTACAGTGGCACAGTCTCAGCTCACTGCAAACTCCATATCCCAGGTTCGAGCGTTTCTTCTGCCTCAGCCTCCTGAGTAGCTGGGATTACAAGCATCCACCACCATGCCCGGCTAATTTTTTTTTTTTTTTTTTTTTTTTTTTTTGAGATGGAGTCTTGTGCTGTTGCCCAGGGTGGAGTGCAATGTTGCAATCTCGGCTCACTACAATCTCTGTGTCCTGGGTTCAAGCAATTCTTCCTCTTCAGCCTCCCAAGTAGCTGAGATTACAGGTGCCTGCCATCATGCCCTGCTAATTTTTGTAGAGATGGGTTTTCACCGTGTTGCCCAGGCTGGTCTTGAACTCCTGACGTAAGGTTATCTGCCCACCTCGGCCTCTCAAGGTGTTGGGATTACAGGCGTGAGCCACTGGGCCCCACCTATCTGCTTTAAATTGTCCTATTGTCAACAGTTACCTGGTTCTCCAAATTTTACTCGCAATAGGCACATGATTCCAAATGACAAGAGGGATATTACTGTTTTGCTATCTTAACTGGTAGATTTATCCTCCCAGGAACACATAACAAGAGTTACTGGTGCCATTAACACAGCACAATAGTCAATTCCAGATCCTCTGCATGTTCCTGTGGGTTAGAAGCCTACAATTTAACTCTCTGGCACCACTTTCTATAATTAGTCATTTGGTCACAAGCAAGAGAAACCCATTTTGGCTGATAAAAAGGAAACTTATCGTAAGGAGGCTATACGGCAGTTTATACAATCAAAGGAAAACCTCGACAACCAGGCATAGAGAATAGGAGCCAGGGTACTATGGACATCTCCTTTTATAAATTTTTACACGTTTTCTTTGGAGCACTACCATCAGAATGACTCAACTCTGGTCACTTTGTTTGTGGTCACCTCTTTTTTTTTTTTTTTTTTTTTGAGGCAGAGTTTCACTCGTTACCCAGGCTGGAGTGCAATGGCGCAATCTCGGCTCACCGCAACCTCCGCCTCCTGGGTTCAGGCAATTCTCCTGCCTCAGCCTCCTGCGTAGCTGGGATTACAGGCACGCGCCACCATGCCCAGCTAATTTTTGTATTTTTAGTAGAGACGGGGTTTCACCATGTTGACCAGGATGGTCTC